CACCAAAAAAAAAAAAAATCATATAACAATGGAAACATTTCTAGACATCTGTTATCAGAATATTTTCTGTAACATGAGTTTTTTAAAAAGTAACTACTTTCTCAGTCATTGTTAAAGTATCATCTTTACCTTGAAAGGAGATGGATTAAGTATCTGGGAGCTTTTTAGTTTTTACTGTTGACAGCCACATGTCATCATAGAAGAGGTCAACAAATTTGGAACAGTTGTCCTTTTGTAGTGGAAAAGTAGGTAACTCATATTTAAGTTTGACAAATGTTTAAGATATTTTGCCACAAGATAACCAGCAGATTTCTGAATGGTACAAAAGAGTTTTTTGGTCTCTCTTGATCTCATTACTAAATTACTAATAAAGAATATGTTAATTTGATTTGTTTTTAAAGTTTTTTTATCACATGATATATCTTATGTATAGAAGAGTGCATAATACATATGTACAATTTAAAAAATAGTTATAAAGCCGACACTCATCCAACCAACACCAAGGTCTAGAAATTAACAGCACCCCAGGAGTTCCCTATGTGTCTTTCACCAAACACATCCCCCTTCTTCCCTACAGATAACAACTCTCCTGACATTTGTGTGATCATTTCCTTACTTTTTTTGTGTGTGTGAGGAAGATCGGCCCTGAGCTAACATCTGCCAATCCTCCTCTTTTTGCTGAGGAAGACTGGCCCTGGGCTAACATCCATGCCCATATTCCTCCATTTTGTATGGGACGCTGCCACAGCATGGCTTGACAAGCGGTGCGTCGGTGCGTGCCCGGGATCTGAACTGGCAAACTCCAGGCCACCACAGCGGAGCACGCACACTTAACCCCTTGCACCACCGGGCCGGCCCTTACTTTTCTTTATAATTTATTGTCTGGCTATCCCTAAATACTGAATTCAGTTTTACCTGTTTTGCATCTCATGTAAATAGGATCGTACTGTATGTATGCCTTTGTGGGTTTTGTTCAGCATTGTAATTTTTATGCAAGCTGTGTGTAACTCTGCTTTCATTTGCAGTGGTTTCTAGCATTTTATTCTATGAGTATCTGAAGTTTATTTATCCGTCCTACTGTTGTTGGACATTTGGGATGTTTCTAATGTGGGGCTCTTATAAATAATGCTTCTATAAACATACAAGAATGTATGTATCTCCTGGCATACATGTACAAGAACTTTTCTAGGATATATGCCTGAGAGTGGACTTGCTTGGTAGTAGTGTATGTGCATATTCAACTTAACTAGATAATGCCAGACTTTTCCACAGGGTTTATACCAACTTACATTCCCACTATAATGTGCAAAGATTTCCATTGCTCTACCTCCTTAGCGCTTGTTATTGTCAGATTTTTAAATTTTAGCCATTCTGACGAACATATAATAGCATCTCATTATGTTTTTTGCAAGAGAATGAGGTTGGCAAAATGTTATTAATGATTACCAGTTGTGGTATTATAGGTGGTTTTTATGCTTTTTAAAATATTTTCTAGAGTATTTGTTCTTACCCTTTCAGCTACCACTCCATTTCTCTTATTCCTTTTTACAGAAAATTCCTTGCAAAGATTATTTGTACTCACCATACCCAATTTTTCTCTTGAACCCGGTTCAGACAGACTTTTTCCCTTACCGCTCACTGGAACTGCTCCCATCCAGGTCACCCATGGTCATTTCATTGCTCAGTCCTCATCTCATTTGACTTAGCAGTAGCACTTGACACAATTAATCATTTTCTACTCCTGAAAACAGTTTTAATTGGCTTAAAGATACCACACTAAATGGATTTTCTTACAGGTTGCTTCTTCTCATTTTGTGTAACATTTGATACTTTGATGACACCTTCTGTCACTTCTCCCCCAAGTATTTATTTTTTAAGTTTTAAACCTGAATAAAAGTTGAAAGCATTATCCCCATAATTTTTCATTAACTTTTTTCCTAATTATTAAAGTAATACAAGTTTGGATGATCATACTCTGGTTATATATGATGTCATCAATGAGGGAACCTGAGTGAAGTATATATGAGAACTCGCTGTACTATTTTTCCAACTTCTATGTGAGTCTAAAATTATTTCATAATAAACTGTTTTTCTTAAAGTAATACACCATGTTATTCACCATACTTTATTTATTCATCATATTTTATTGAACTCCTACGATATGCCAGGTACTATTCTAGACCTTGAGAATATAGTAGTGACCGAGTTGAGAAAAATCCCTGCTCTCATGGAGCTTAAATTTACTGGAGGTGATCAATAATAAATAAGTAAGAAGTATATATTATGTTAGATAGTATAAATGCTAGGGAGAAAATGTAAAGCAGAAAAGCAGAGAAGGTGTATAGGAAATGACAAGAGTGGAGAAGGGGAGTTGAAATTTTAGATATGGTAACAAGGATAGCCAAATGCCTCATTGAGAAAGGGACAATTGAAGAAAGTCTTGAAAGAAGCAAAGAAGCAAGCCATGCAAATATTTAGGGGAAAGTCCTTCAGAGCCTTTGTTTTTACCTCAAATTAGTAACAAAGGTCCTGAAGTAGGTGCATGCTTGTAGTGTTTCAGGAATGGTGAGGAGGCTAGTGTGGTTAGTGTGGTAGGCAATGAAATCTAAGAGATGGGGTGTGGGAGGGGTGGCAGGGAGCAGTTGGATATATGAATCAGGAGTTCAAGCTGGAGATAATAGTTTGAGTGCGATCAGCATGTACATTAAAGTTAGGTGACTAGATGACTCCACCAAGAGACTGAGTGTAGATAGAGAAGAGAAAATGTCTATGGATTAAATAAACTCTGGGTTACTCTGACATTTAAGGGTTGAGCATTTGAGAAGGAATCAGCAAAGGAGACTGAGCCTGAGGGTTCTTCCATTTAGGACTATATCCTTTGTTGGCATGTGAAGTCCTCCATTTACTGGCCCAGATTTACCTCATGTCTTACCACTTCTCTTCCTACTACTTCTGGTTTTAAAAAATATATCATGCCCTCTCTCCTGGTTCTTTCTACATGCTTTTCCATTTTTTGAAACACTGTTTATTTCCTCCTTTTCCTCATCCCTGACTAACTCCTTTTTATCTTTTAGGATTCACCTCAACCATAATTTCCTCAGTGGTCTGCCAGACATGGTTTAGCTTCCCCTTCTGTGTACCCTGTACATACCTAGTATCACACACCCTCTCCACTCTTTCTTGCTCCTCATAAGCACTTTCTTCTTCTATTTTTCTCTCTAGATTGGAATTGCTTATTCAGCCATCTCCTCTAGTAGATTGTGATCCTTGAGGTTCTATGTCCTATTCATTGTTTAATGTTTGGCACTATGTTTAATACTTGGTTGGCACTTAAATAATATTTAGTAAATTTGGGAACCAATATAAATTGCCATAATAGAAAGAGAAGAGCCTTATAAAGGCTCAGCCTTTGGAAACAGTGAGTAAAGTTGGAGTGTAGAGCAGAGTTTTTGTGAAAGAAGATGTTGTATAAGCATCAGGAAGCGAGAAACATGTCAGCAAGCCAGAGGTTACCAATATTTTTCTTGTAGCAGCAAGAAATTTCTAGGTGCAATAGCTAGATTGACTTCTTTTCTGTCTTCTTTATTGAAAAGCTGCCTGGCAGACATACGGTGTTTTACCAAGCAGATAGAAACAAGTACAGTGGGTTCATTATTTTGAATGTTTATTTAAATGGGATTTTTTTTTAATACTTGATTCCCTTTTCATTTTTTAACAAACTACCCCAATCTGGCAGGTGTTTAAATGCTTCAGCTTTCATAGGGATGTGAATAATGGAACAGTTTTAAGTCAAGGGTCTTCATATTGAGTATGTACCTTCTTAAGGGTCATGGAATTGTTTTTAAACTTCAGGGAAGCATAACTGGTCAGTAGAAGGGTGGAGACAGATCTAAAAGCCAAAAATTTTTAAGGAATTTAAGGAGTGGAACCTAGAAAAGGTGTTAGGTAGAAAAGAGATTTCTTTGTTTAACTGTATTAGATGAAAATATGGGGTTTTGAGTCACATTTTAAAATATTTTTTAAACTTTGCTGAGTGTTAAGAGCATTTTTTCTGTAGCATGACCATAAATATTTATAAGGTGAGACAAATATAACTTCTACATGAAACATCATGATTTATTTTCAGTGCGGCACAGTTGAGCTACATTTCAAATGGGAAGTAACATCAATAGGGAGCAGTTGTGTGAAACTGTGTTCAAAAGAAAAAGCCCCAAGTTTCAAAAGTCTTTCATTCTGAATATTGTTCTCTGTATAGTATTAACTTAAAAAGTGTTTTCAGATTCAACTGAAGTTCAATTTAGAAATAGAATTTATATTTTTTGCTCTCTCAGATGAAGCTTTAAGCATATGTTTCTAATAATTCAGTTAAAATATGCTGAGTTGTATATTTTTAAAGAGAATCTGTTTTGAAAAGATTCCAAAATATTTGTTTGAACAGGCAGTCAGCATCTCGATGAAAACTGTTGGAAAAGAAAAACTTTCAGAGTCATTCTGCTCTCAGAGTACCCAAGCCAACTAAACGGGTACAGTTAACACTTCTGTAAGAGGCCAGGAGCCAAGAAACGTAGCACTTCCTGGACTGCTTTTCAGGAGGCCTTCAAGCCAACTTAGTGGTTGATATTAATACCATTGAATTTTAAAGTAATAAGCTACAAGTAGAAAATCTATGTCTCTTTCTATCAATATCATACTTATTAGTCTCTTTTAGTAATCCGTGATTAGCTTCAATCTCTATGTTGACATTAAAGCTGTAATTCCTTCTTGAATTTTGTGGGGTATCATTCTTACAAAACAAGAAGAGATGCCCTGTAGAGTTTGACCCCAGGTATGATTAAACTGTCTCCTAGACATAAATATTTTTACATTGCTTTTTAGTACTACTGAGTGTCACAGTAGAGATGTAAATTATATAGAACACCATAATGCTTTGGGACAATTGGTAGTTATCTCAGGCTACCAAATTTATAAGTAGGGAGAGTTTATTCAGCCTCTGACCCTTTCATTTTCATTTTATCTCATTGAGATTTATTGACACCACTTAATTTATTTAGCAATTATATGCTTAATATAGATAGTATGTCATATTGATCTCTGTATCCACATATTTGATCTAGTAAGTGCTCTAATTAGATATTTGTTGGATTGAACCAGAAAGTACCCACCATATTTAGTTGCTATAGTGGAGAGTAAATAATAAAAGAAAGATTAAAAAATTCTGTATTCTAACTAGTGAGACAAGACTAAATCTAACATCTATACTACCATTTCTCTAATATCACAGAGTTAGTTGGAAAAATAGCAGAAACTAAAATTTCAGTCTCTTGGTTTTTCAAGTGCTTCCCACGAGATTAGATTAACGGTGTCTCCAGAAATGATGACCATACTTGAGTAAATTTTAAGCTTCTTTCAGAGCCATAAGTGTCAAGGAGTTGTGTGGAACCAAGGATAAATCTCCTGGCTTTTTTTCCCTTTATTATTTGAATCTGTGTATAATCTGAAATAGCAAATTATATGTGATTTGGGGGTACAGTGTCATTTGTAACTTCAAGGGATCTGAGGGCCGGCTCCGTGGCTTAGCGGTTAAGTGCGTGCGCTCTGATGCTGGCGGCCCGGGTTCGGATCCCGGGAGCGCCCCGAGGCACCACTTCTCCGTCCAACGCGAGGCCGAGTCCCACATACAGCAACTAGAAGGATGTGAACCTATGACATACAACTATCTACTGGGGCTTTGGGGGGAAAAAAATGAATAAATAAAATCTTAAAAAAAAAAAAGGGATCTGAGAATCAGCAGAGGAATGCAGTCTTTTCATGCAACTCTGCCAGGTCTTTCCATTTTAGATAGTATATTACTGGAAGCTTCGAAAGCAAATGGAGGGAGTTTCAGTAATGAACTGAAAATGATGATTGACAACCAGAATCTGCAGTTGATGGGGACACAGTTATGGGAAGGAAGCATACACAAATAGTAGCATAATAGGTTATGTTACTGAAATCCAAGAAAAGTAGAATGAGGCAAAATATCTCTAGTGTCTTGATATTTCCTTTGATGGTACTTTGGATACGTTTCACAAGAGAGATGGTTGAGATCACTAATCTTTAGTACATGAACCAAGAAGTAGTAATTTTGTTTATCATAGGAATTAACTTTGGCCCATAAAGGAGTAGAAACTCTTTAGTAGAGGAACAGTTTTGTCTATAATTTCTCTGATTTAGTGCAAAAAGCTTTTTGAGAGAATATTCAAAGCCGTGTCTTAAGTTTCATTGTTGAAAACTGACAGTTGCTATACTTCTTTTTAATAACTGATTGAAGCTCTTTCTGTTATGTCTCCTCTATTGCTAAATTCCTTAAATTTAAAAAAATGTGTTTAAAGTAATGGTATTAGGAAACAAAAGCTTTATTCTGTGGATTGGATAATACTTCTTTTGTGACATTTTCTTTTCCCACCAAAAGTGAGAAGTGAATGCCTTGCCTTGGTACATCCCATTTCTAATGGAGGACAAGAAGTTATTTTCTTCAATGGCTCACTTCCAGAATTTCTGGCTGAACGTTCTTTGTCAAGTGTATATTCCCTTCTCTAGGCCTTTCTATATAGAGCCCACAAACATCGTCAATGTGAATGATGTCATTCAGAGGGTTAGTGACCATGCCTCTGCCATGAACAAGAGGATTCATTACTACAGCCGGCTCACTGCTCCTGCAGACAAGGCACTGGTAAGGGGCAAAGCATTGCTCATTGTCTAAGGTTAAGTTGAAATGAACAGTGAACAACATAAGTCAGGGCAACTCCTAGTGGTTGAACTTCTGGCTGGTCATATTCCAAGGATGGCATCATGGAAAGTCAATTATAGTAATTAATACATGTCCTATATCTCAGGCTAGTTCATTCTTATCTAGCCTGGCATACAGAGATTTGAAACAATCTCTCTATGTTGACAGCAGCCTAGAGATTTGTTGGATTAAATTCTGCTAATCCCCAATCCTAAAAGCTCTGAGGAGGGTAAACTACTTTTGAAGTAGTTTAGGTCGTTGATTAATAATAATTAATAAAGGATAACGTGTTCTGGTTAGTCTGTTCTGTTCTTAAGTTTGAAGCTACGAGGGAAAACTGTTTTTAGAAATTTTCTGCAGGAGTGGGACACTGAAATATATACATACATATACATAATATTTTCCTATTTAGCAATACCCTTTTATAGATAAAAACAAAGGTCAAAGGACAGATACTAAACATTTTAGGCTTTGCGGGCCACGTACTGTCGCATATTCTTTTTCATTTTTATTTTATAATAATCAAAAATATAAAAATTATTCTTAGCAAAGGGACTGTAAAAAAATCAGGCTGAAGGCCAGACTTGGCCCATGAGCCATAGTTTGTTGACTCTTGATCTTCTAAAATCTGTATTATTATTTTAGGATCAAAAATATATAAGTAGGCTGCTTATAAGAATTACCACATATAAGATATTCAGAAACTTGAAAACTTAAAAGAAAAATGGAAACATTCTGGGAGAAAAAATAATGATTTCTGTTATAGGTAATAATAAAAAGGGAGAAAGGAACCAACATTCTTTAGATCTTTACTAAGGGGCAAGGATTGAGCTAGTCATTCGAACGTAGATATCTCATTTTAAGCCATGTGAAATATTAAGATCTCCTTTCGTATAGCCAAAGTAGGGCCTTCAAAAATAGTCTGGTGGGATCATTTTTTTCCCCGATGTTTTTACTTTTTCCTCCCCCAGCATTTACATCAGTAGTTGTGGTAAAGTCTTAGTTCCATAACAGAATTATCTAAACCCTCTGGGTGGTAGAAGTAATCTAGTATCTCCGAGTCCAGTTCAGACCTCTGAGAGGCTCTACTTGTGGAATCAAATGTCAGAGATACTGGCTGGGTCATTCTAGGCCTGAGTGTACCTTATTTGCCTGGAAATTGTCAGCATTGTACACAAAGTTGAATCCCTTTTGTTAACTGACAGTGCAATGATCTAGTAAATCGAAGTATATGAACAGTGATCTAAAATTAACAATGACCATTTTTAATGAATGTGTGTATACATTCATGCTCATTTTCTGAGAATCCCAAAATTATTTTTCCTAAAAGATTTTTTTTGTGAGGAAGATCAGCCCTGAGCTAACATCCATGCCAATCCTCCTCTTCTTGCTGAGGAAGACCAGCTCTGAGCTAACATCTATTGCCAATCATCCTCCTTTTTTCCCTGAAGCCCCAGTAGATAGTTGTGTGTCATAGTTGCACACCCTTCTAGTTGCTGTATGTGGGACGCCGCCCCAGCATGGCCAGAGAAGTGGTGTGTTGGTGCGCGCCTGGGATCCGAACCCCGGGCCGCCAGTAGTGGAGCATGTGCACTTAACCGCTAAGCCACGGGGCCGGCCCATCCTAAAAGATTTTTAAGGGAAGAACAGTATGAATCCACAGGTCTCAGGTCTTTATGGAGTTATACCTTTTTATTTCTGAAAATTTCCCCATTTACCTTACTATTTTTATTCTAAAATGGGGAAGGGAAGAAAATTATTTGGCTGCCAACATCTCCTAGATCCTTGGTAATAAAAGTGTGGCCTGCACAGACAGGCCAGCCGTATCAGTATCACTGAGAGCTTGTTAAAAATGCAGAACCTCAGTCCTTCCTCCAGACCTACTGAATCAAAATCTATATATATATATTTTGTGTGTGTGTGAGGAAGATCAGCCCTGTGCTAACATCTGCCAATCCTCCTCTTTTTTTTTGCTGAGGAAGACTGGCCCTGGGCTAACATCCGTGCCCATCTTCCTCCACTTTATATGGGACGCCACCACAGCATGACTTGCCAAGCGGTGTGTCGGTGCGCACCCGGGATCCAAACCGACGAACCCTGGGCCACCACAGCGGAGTGCGTGCGCTTAACCGCTTGTGCCACCAGGTTGGCCCCCAAAATCTATATTTTAACAAGATCCCTTTGTGAATCACAGAAACATTCAAGCTTGAAAAGCAGTGCCCTAGACCACTGTCAGAGTGTGAAACCCATTCCTGCAATTTTTCTGTATCTCCTAAGATTTTGCCACTTCTTATTCTCCAGCTTCTAATCCTGCCCCCTATAACTTTTGATTTTCACTTTTTCTGAATTTGCTTTGCTGGCTGTTATGGTTTATCTCCTGCCTGATGCAAACATGGTCCTGCTCCTTTTTTCTTCTCACTCTACGGCAGAAGACAACAGAACTCAGACCCGAGAGGATTGAGGGTAGAGAGAAGGCAGCAGACCCATTTCCATATATGTGTTTATATCTCTAGGAAATAATTGTTTCCAAAGCCGCACCAGGCATAGCATTCAAGACATTCTTTGCCCACAAGACACCAACAATCATATGCATAAAGAGAAAAGGACTTGCCACTTCTTCTTTTTGTACCAGTCCTTATCCTGTCTACCTATTGAGGCCTAATGTTCCATCACTTCTTGAAGTCTTCCCCAACTATTCTACTCCCCATTATCTTTTCGTTATACAGTATACCACAGAATTGAACACTTAATTTTTAATCTCTCTTATAGCCTTGCCTAATTGCTCCATATATCTTCTAACTTGAATTTAAACTTCTTGAAGTTAGGAGCTGTATTTCATTTTTTTCTTGAACACTAAACCTAGCACAAAGTTGTAGATTTACGTTAACAGGTGCTAAATATAAAAGATTGTTCATTTATACCATCAGCTACTACATCTTTAACTACTATATGTAAAGACTACACATATCCTCAAAGGACTGTGCTCAGGGAGATGGGCAGAATTCCATCAGGAGACTTTATTTTTTTCCCTCCAAAATAGAGAGGTAGAATTAGGAAGAAATGTATGGGGATAAGTTGGGAGCTATGTGTAAGAAACCTATATCTATTCAGTTGTTCTCTCTGGCTCCTTCCCTTTTGCTTACATCTTTCATCTTTAAGAATCCTTGCTTTGCCTTTTCCTTAAGCTGCTTTAGCTCATCTTTTTTTTCTGCTACCAAAGCATTTAACAGAATAGTCCATATTTATTGTTCCTTTCTTTATCTTCTATTGACTCCTCAATTCCTTGTAGTTTGAGTTCCCTACCTGCCTCTTTGCTAAAACCACCCTCACATAGGAGTTCAGTGACTGCTTGATTCTTGAAATTTCCCTCACTTAAGGCCCAAGTCTCCTCCATTCAAAATTCCTTAATCTCAGTCTTTGCTGGCTCTTCTTCCTCCTTTCTCATGAAAATGAAGAGAAAAATATTTTGACAATTACATATTCTAGGAATTCATTCTCATTTCAGATAAAGTTTATTGTTTACAGTCTTTAAACTCTTGCTTCTTTAGATCTGTTACATTTGAAAAAGAATTCTTATAATCAGGGATGTATACTATTTATTTGTTCATGATATTTAAAAATATGTCTAGAATCAGGTACTCTCATGTATAGAAAATATTTTGCACATTTACTGGTCCTAAAATTTCTGTTTCTTTTTTTACCAGATTGCCCCAGATCATGTAGTTCCATCTCCAGAAGAGTGCTATGTATATAGTCCACTGGGTTCTGCTTACAAACTTCAAAGTTACACTGAAGGATATGGTAAAAACACCAGTTTAGTAACCATGTGAGTAAAACTACTTTTTGGAGCATAACTTAAATTATATGTGAATGAAGATTACTGATTATTTTAATTTTATCTTAATTAAAATGTTTGAAGAGTCACACTCCATATTTTTACTGCTATTACTCTGTGTTTTCAGTTTTATGATTTGGAATACCATGATGGGAACATCTATACTAAGTATTCCTTGGGGCATAAAACAGGTAATATAATTTTTCAGCACATTCTTTGCCTAAATTTTTTTCTCTTTATATTGTAAATTTTACAATAGAGTTTTTAATAAATTTACATAAATTTATTAAAGAAAATAGATCATTATATTTAATTTTCGATTAGTTGTCATGTTTCTATCACAATATTTAGGGTAACAATATGGTTGCATATGAATTTATTCTCACATGATAATATATGTTGTTCTATATTTTTATTTTTAACAGGCTGGATTTACTACTGGAATGTGTATCATCATGCTGATGGGCCTTTTAACACTTTATTGCTGCTACAGAGTAGTGAAATCACGGGCTATGATCTGTAAGAATTTGCCACAGTGAAATAGATTAGTGATGTGGATATTAATAAGTATTTCCTGTTGAGGTAGATCACTAATGGATACATTCCATGTATCCATTAACTATCTATTTTGTGTCTAAAGGTTTACTTCTCAAATTCATAACATTGGCTGAACATGTTAATGAATTAGTGGCTGCCTGTGAAATTCAGAGGGGCTGGCACTTCTTTGCAGAATGCATTTACTTTGGTGCCAATTTCCTCATAAGAATAATTTTAAAAGTCATAATGTTAAAATAAGGTCTTTGCCAGAACTAAATTGAGAATTCTGTGATTTTTAACAGCTAATGGTGACTTGTTTTGACCTATCCCTACCAAAAGACCTAAATGTTAGAATCTCCTAAAAGTAGAAATTATAACTAGAAAAATATGAAAATGTGAGCAATGTGTCCTTTGTAGTGAATTCTCAAAGTTGTACCACCATGTTACCTGCACTCATCTCTATAAATTCTGGATCAGGGAAATACCTTTTTAGATTGTTTCAAAGTAGTTTAGGACCTAAATAGGCATACATTATTTCATTGAATCTTAGCAAGTATGAATCGACAGACCAGACTTTGCCTCCAGTTTTCTTCTTTCTCTACTAAGCAGTGGTATATTTTCTCTTAATTGTGTTATTTATTCATATCCCTTTCCTATTTATCCTCAAGTTCCTTGGTGCTCCTATGGATTTCTTAAGTTCTTTATTGTTATTGTCAAGTTTCTTTCCCATTCAATATTTGAATGGCTTTTCTATTATGTGCGTTTGTTTATATGTCTGTCTTTTCCATTGGAATTTCTGTATCTTCAGTTGATAAAAAAGGATAACTTTTCAGGTTCTATTTTTACACTTTCTAACTTTTCTGTTATTTAATTTTTAAATTCTTAACTCAGTTGTCTGAAATTTAAGTTGACATGTGGCTCAAAGTATGACTCAAGAAAACTTTCCTTCATATTGTTATTTAAGTATGCCAAATATTTTTTTTTTTTTTGTGAGGGAGATCAGCCCTGAGCGAACATCCGTGCTAATCCCCCTCTCTTTTTGCTGAGGAAGACCGGCTCTGAGCTAACATCTATTGCCCATCCTCCTCCTATTTTTCTTCCCCAAAGCCCCAGTAGATAGTTGT